TGTTACAATCCTTTAAACTCCTTCTTCAGTGAAGTACTTTATTATTTCAGTGTTCCCTGTTGTGAATATTCACTCTGTTTGTCCTATACCGGATCAAACCACCGATCTCCAGTCTTTCACTACTGGGATCCCTAAAACCCCCTTTGTTAGATTCTTTTTAACACAAGCAATCTAACAAGGTTTCACCTTCAGCTCCCCTGCTGAAGAAATATTCACAAATGCTAAGAACTAACTGAATTTATACTGCTTCACCACACAGAGCCCTAACTGACTCCGCTCCTCTTCTCAGGGTCTCATCCTCCTGACTGACTATTAACTGTTACTTTCAAACCTTTTTCTCCTTAAGCTCCGCCCACCTTCTCTTCTGCCTTGTCACCATGGCAACCTATCTCTCACAGCTAGGCCATGGCCACGCATGTAAAACATAAATACAGTTTAAACACAGTACAATAAACACTTTATAATAAACACTTCTCTACAGCTAGGCCATGGCCACCCATGTAAAACATAAATACAGTTTAAACACAGTACAATAAACCCTTTATAATAAACACTTCTCTACATCCAGCAAGTGGTATTTTGAGGGATATTTAGCCTCTCAAAGGGTAGGTTACTTAGAGGTAGAGACAGTGCACAATTTGCCTATCTTACTCTTCCTCCAGTTACTAAATTCTTCACAGCTCTTGTACTCACTTGGCAAACTATTAGTACTACTGGCAGGTCGGGTTAGATAGACTAGTAGTACTTTCAGGGTTGAGGCTGGGCCCATAACCAAAGTCAACCTGAAGCAGAGTTTCTCAGCCCAAACCTCTAATACTGCTCTGAGGTTTATAGCAGGGGTCCTCACACTTCTTAAAAAGAGGGCCAGGTCACAGTCCCTCAAACTGTTGGAGGGCCAGATTAGAATTTGAAAAAAACATGAATGAATTCCTATGCACGCTGCACATATCTTATTTGTAGTGCAAAAGACACTTTAAAGCAATACAATAATTAAAATGAAGAACAATTTTAACAAATATAAACTTATTAGTATTTCAATGGGAAGTGTGGGCCTACTTTTAGCTGATGAGATAGGATTGTTATTGTATGCTTTCAAGTAGTTTCAGTGTGCTGTCACATGCTGGGCCTAAAATAATGTCTGTTTACAGGACGTGCTCTCTGTATGCCCAACAGGACACCGGGGTGCCTCAGCTGAAGGGCCCTTTAGATTTCCCAACACAAAATTCTATTGAGGCTCAAGATACGTTCAACAAAGTTCTTTATTTGGGCTTAAATCTTCAAACAAATGAATTAAACACTTTATAAACTTGGAAAACCGGTAGCTTCCTCAGTCTGCCAACAAGGGGCAGGCAACTGGTGGGAAACTGTTCTTTCTTCCTTAGGGAAATCTTTTGACCCCTCCCTGGGCAATCTCTCTTTACCTTGCAGGCGTGAGGCCACTACGCCCGGCTCCAAGCTGCTTTATGGATAGCCTGAGTGGTCCCTTACCAGGCAAGGTTCCTGTAGATCTGCCAAGCTGAAAGGTGTCCTTTAGTTTCTCCACAAAGGCTGTAGGAACTATTTCCTTACTCCCCAGCAAAGCTGTGGTTCTATTTCTTTAACCCCCAGCAAAAGCTGTGGAACCTTTCCTTTTTCCCCAGCAGAGCTGTGAGAAGAGAAGCTTTCGTGCAGGTGGGAAAGAGAATCCCACACATCCTTCTGTTAGGCTTCCCACAGTGAGACTGAGACAAAGTCCTCCTTTCCCTCCAAAACCCTAGGAAAAGGGGCGGGTCTAAAGATTCTAACGATGATTGCCAAGTTGTTGGCCCTATGATTGCAACCTGAGGGAAGCTACCTTATTGAAAAATGCATGGCTTAAATAGATTCATGCAAACTAGCAGTGCAAGAAAAGGAATTTAAATCTCCTGGTACTGCTGTGCCAGCACATTCAGACTTAGGTTGACCCTGAGCGAAGGCTGGGTAAATGACTTTGGAGGGCTGCATCCAGCCCCCGGGCCTTATTTTGAGGACTCCTGGTCTATAGTATGAGCAAGACTTGCAATAAACAGCAGATGCAGGAGCTTCCTTTATCTTTTGTTGCAGCTATTTACAGTATTTACAGCTCACTCCAGAATCCTCCAATCTGCCGTACATAATCACACCACCCAACCACAGCTTACTCTCTTGGTGTTCTTATATACACTTGCATGGTGCAATGTTCCATTCATGTTTTCATTATCTTATACACCTGAAGACCTAACTTAAGGGTTTCATTGTCCTCATGCTTTATCACTGTGACTCAGCACTTACAATACTTAAAGTAACCCAGCATTTTAACTTCAAAATAGGTTGGTATAGTTTAAAACTCCAACAAATTCTGGAGATAACACATTATATAGCTGTCATGACTATATAGACCAGGGGTCCTCAAACTAAGGCCCAGGGGCCGGATGTGGCCCTCCAAGGTCATTTACCCGGCCCTCGCTCAGGGTCAACCTAAGTCTGTAACAACTTCAAAGCACACAACAACAACAACAACAATCCTATTTCATCAGTCAAAAGCAGGCTCACACTTCCCATTGAAATACTAATAAATTTATATTTGTTAAATTTGTTCTTCATTTTTATTATTGTATTGTTTTAAAGTGGTTTTTGCATTACAAATAAAATATGTGCAGTGTGAATAGGAATTCATTCATGTTTTTTTTCAAATTATAATCCGGCCCTCCAACAGTTTTAGGGACTGTGACCTGGCCCTCTGTTTAAAAAGTTTGAGTACCCCTGATATAGACAGTGATTGCATTAGCTTCTATTTTCTTACTATATCCAGTGCAGGTGTACTTCCATATGTCTGTCCTGACTCTCTCGTTGTTTGTTGGTGGATGTTGTGTGTAGGACACAGCCCTGAGAAACTTTCCAAATATTGGCCTCTGACTCGCATCATCCCCAGGCAGCATGGCCAATGGTGAAGGATGATAGAAGCAGAGTCCTACAAAGTATGCATCCCTGCTGTAGATATACTTGAGTGGTTATTTATCATAGAGTCATAGAATCAAAGCGTTGGAAGAGACCTCATGGGCCATCCAGTCCAACCCCCTGCCAAGAAGCAGGAATATTGCATTCAAATCACCCCTGACAGATGGCTACCCAGCCTCTGTTTAAAAGCTTCCAAAGAAGGAGCCTCCACCACACTCCAGGGCAGAGAGTTCCACTGCTGAACGGCTCTCACAGTCAGGAAGTTCTTCCTCATGTTCAGATGGAATCTCCTCTCTTTTCACTTATCACTTTTGCTTTCCTGATTGCATGAGATTCCTGATAGTTCCATCTGCTGAACCAGTGTCAGACTGCTGTGATGGACTGGATGAGGGCTAACAGGTTGAAGCTTAATCCAGACAAGACAGAGGTCCTCCTGGTCAGTCGTGGGGCTGACTGGGGTATTGGGTGGCAACCTGTGCTCGATGGGGTTACACTCCCCCTGAGGGCGCAGGTCCGTAGCTTGGGGGTCCTCCTGGACTCAATGCTGTCATTTGATGCTCAAGTGTCGGCGGTGGCTGGGAGGGCCTTTGCACAACTTCAACTCGTGTGCCAGCTGTGACCATACCTCGTAAAGACTTGGCCAGTATGGTCCACACCTTGGTTACATCCAGATTGGACTATTGCAATGTGCTCTACGTGAGGCTGCCCTTGAAGATGGCCTGGAAGCTCCAATTGGTACAACGGGTGGCAGCCAGGCTCCTTACTGGAGCAAACTATAGGGAGCATACAACGCCCCTTTTAAAACAGCTTCACTGGCTGCCGATAAGCTGCCGGGCCAAATTCAAGATTCAGGTTATGATCTATAAAGCCTTAAACAGTTCGGGCCCTGCCTATCTTTGCGATCGCATCTCCTTTTATGAACCAGCGCAAACTTTAAGATCTTCTGGGGAGGCCCTCTTTTCGCTCCCACCACTGTCACAAGCACGGTTGGTGGGGATGAGAGAGAGGGCCTTCTCGGTGGTGGCCCCCCGCCTCTGGAACATCCTTCCTGGAGAAATAAGACAGGCCCCATCCCTCCCCTCCTTTCGTAAGAGCCTGAAGACCTGGTTTAAACAAACCTTTGAGAACGACTAGTTCTAGCTCTGCCCCAGATACTGTTGAAATTGGCCATATCTTTTTCTACCAATTACCCAGGTCACTTTCTTCTATTAGGCCCTGGAAATGTACAGCCATAGACTCTACCTAATTTCCCGCACCCTCTAAAATCGCACTAGCCCGGCCTGGCCTTTTAAACTGCCTTGAACAGGCAGTATTGTTTTAAATATATGTGCTATTGTGGTTTTTACTGCTTATATTGTTGTGTTAATTTTATGTTTATGCTGTTTGTATGTGTTGATTATGTTACTTGGAAACCTCTCTGAGTTCCCTCGGGGAGATAGAGCGGTATATAAATAAAGTTTTGTTGTTGTTGCTCCTAATCTTCTCCATGTAACACACAACTTTGAAGCATTCTTTAGTGTTAAAATGACAATGCTCCGGATTAGACAAATGTCTCACGAAAAATGGAAAGCTTAAACTCCTAAATTCTTGAAGCCAAAGAACATGCTGTCAGCATCTTCCATAATGCAAATGGCATTTCCATTTCTATAGCATTTCACATTCCAGGAGCTGTCATAAACCTTCGTCTTTCCTGGTCCTTTAAAATTAAAACAAATTGAGGTGTGTGTGAAACAAGTGATGCCTTTGTCAAAGTGGGCAGAATGTGGGACACCTTCTTGGATAACAGTATACATTTAACAAGGTTGCTTCCTAGAATATGGAATTAATCAGTTCACTTGAGTGACAATGTCAAAGAGTCGTAGAAGTGTGTGTGTACTTTGAAAAGCTTGTATAATCTTTCTGGGGAATTCTAATAATAAATGTGATCTTGAACTCTATAAGGAGAACAGCCTTTTCTAGCTCTGAATATGTTATCTTTAGTTCTTTCTCTCTTTTAAACTGTACCGTGTTGGCTACATGAACATCCCTTCCCATTCCTTCTACAGAAGGAGAATCGGCCTGCAGCTGAGTATTGAAGGAAGTTTCCATATTGGACTTGGGGGAGCGAGTTCTTCATCACACCTGAGGACAGCTGGCTAGCTTTGCAGGTACAGGATGGGCCATGTGGGCTGCAGCTTGTCCTTTCTGCGCCCTCCAGCTGCTCTCCAACATCTGGCTCTTGAGGTGAGTGGGAAACCACACTGCTCACATCAGCGAAAAGAAGGAAAGACAGCTTCACACTGAATCACTTCATCATTATGCAAGGAAAATTGAAGTGAAACATTTCAGAATGGATGATCTTTGTAACACTGGATCAAGTTGACTACAGTAGTTAATATAGACTTACCACAAGAGATTATCCAGCACATTCTCACCAATAAGACAAACTACAGTGAATGAGAGACAGAGCTAGTGCATGTACATATCGTTTCTAATATTCCACCATTTAGCTGTGTTGCTGGCATTTTAGATGGACTTTGGTTTTTTTGATGTTAGTGAGAGGCCAAGCTCTTCATATGCTTCTGTGAAGGTGTTTAAAGTGACTTGCAGGTCTTCCTCTGAATGAGCACAGACTGCCGCATTTAATTACATAGAATCATAGAGTTGGAAGAGACCTCATGGGCCATCCAGTCCAACCCCATGCCAAAAAGCAGGAATATTGCATTCAAAGCACCCCTGACAGATGGCCATCCAGCCTCTGTTTAAAAGCTTCCAAAGAAGGAGCCTCCACCACACTCCGGGGAAGAGAGTTCCACTGCTGAACAGCTCTCACAGTCAGGAAGTTCTTCCTCATGTTCAGTTCATATCATCATCATATTTAATTACTTACTAATTGCCCTCCATTCGAGAATGCTCTAGGCGATTTACAGCTAAACTGTAAAAGATAAAATACATACATACAGAAATTAAAAATTAACAGAGATCGAATGCTCTAGTAAAAAGCCAGGTCTTAAGTGCTAGAGTAAAAGGTCCTAAGTTACGCATGGCTCTCATATAGGGTGGCAAGGAATTCCATAAGGCAGAGGCAGAAATAGAAAAAGCCCTGCGTCTGGTACTTTCCAAGTGCACTTCTCTAGGACCCGGTATATAGAGTAAGTCACGTTGGGCTGGTTGTTGCGACCTCCGATGATGGGAGAAGGAGAGGCGGTCCTTAAGGTACAATGGACCCTGGCCGTAAAGAATTTTAAAGGTCTTATACAGGCCATGGTACCCAGTTGGAAGCCAATGTAAATGTTGCAGCACTGGTGTTATATGGCATTTCATGGGCGTTCTTGTGAGTAACCTGGCTGCCGCATTCTGAACAATACGGAGCTTTCAGGTCGTAGACATCGGAAGGCCAACATACAGGGCGTTGCAATAGTCCAGCCTAGACGTGACCGTGGCATGGATGATAGTTGCCAGAGCCTCCTCAGATAGGAAGGGTACCAGTTGCCTCGCTTGCCGTAGATGGAAAAAGGCCCGTTTGCTGGCAGCAGCAACCTTAGCTTCCATTGTCAGCTGCGAATCCAGGATGACACCTAAGCTCTTAACAGTGGTCGATGGAGATAGGGCGGCACCATCGAAGGTGTGTAACGGATGAGTCAGACCTGCCAGGCGGCCATGCCAGAGAATCTCAGTCTTCGCCAGGTTCACCTTCAGTCTGCTAGCATGTAGCCAGTTCGACAGAGCCTCCAGACATCGGGTGAAATTGTCTGGAATTGACGTTGCTCCAGGCTCCAGGCACAGAAGGAGTTGGGTATCGTCTGCATATTGGTAGCAGTCCAGGCCGAAACTCCGAGCCAAGCTACCAAGCTAGCTTTCTTGTAGTTTGAAGTAATTGTTCCATGTCTTAGTCTCCAGGGAAGCAGAGAACAAGCTTGCTCCCTCCTCCCTGTGACTTCCTCTCACATATTTATACATGGCTATCATATCACCTCTCAGCCTTCTCTTCTTCAAGCTAAACATGCCCAGCTCCTTAAACCACTCCTCATAGGGCTTGTTCTCCAGACCCTTGATCATTTTAGTCACCCTCCTCTGGACACATTCCAGCTTGTCAATATCTCTCTTCAATTGTGGTGCCCAGAATTGGACACAATATTCCAGGTGTGGTCTAACCAAGGTGAAATAGAGGGGTAGCATTACTTCCCTAGATCTAGACACTATGCTCCTATTGATGCAGGCCAAAATCCCATTGGCTTTTTTTGCCGCCACATCACATTATTGGCTCATGTTTAACTTGCTGTCCACGAGGACTCCAAGATCTTTTTCACATGTACTGCTCTCGAGCCAGGCGTCCCCCATTCTGTATCTTTGCATTTCATTTTTGATAGAAGCCATTGCATAATAGTCATACCCTCCTTTCGGGGTCCCGGTTTTGGTATTTACTCATTGCTCTCATAATAGTCTCACTCCCCGCCCGCACACCTGCCCCTCAGAGTTATGGGACTGCCTATGATGCTGTTCAGAAGATTCTGCCCCACTTTCTGTCCCTGTGACAATTGGATTTTGAAAATGTTCACTTGTCATAGAAACAAGGATTGGTGGGAAAGTGGAGACCCCTTTCCCCCATGAGTGGGTTTCTCTTCCTGTTAGTAGATTCCTCTCACTTCTTGTCTCACCAAGTCAGGATGGATGGGCACTCCCAGGCAAGGCTGCCCTGCTACTTGTAGGCCGAATGTCTTATGCTACCATTTCCAAGCAACTGTGCCACCCACAATCCTAACTCCTCTCCTGTCCAGCCAGGGTCAACCAGTGGGCCAAATATCCCCTTCAAACTTGTCATCCAAGCCCACCAGCCAGTACCTCATTCCTCGATACCCCAGACACACCCACAGACAGCAACCTCATTCCAGTCGGTTTGCATTGAGTTGTGTTTCTGCTTTTCATGCCTGCAGGTGATAATGCCCTTCTGCAACAAAGAGTCCCACTTCCAGCCCCAAACCCAAGTTCCTTTGGTGGCCAAAGACCTTGAAACACGTAAGCCATCCTGATTATTTTTATGATTATTTTTGGGAATATTTCTGTGAATATTTTTGTGAATATTGTAATTATTTTTGTGAATATTTTTGCGAATATTTTCATGATAATTTTTGTGAATTTATTTCATTATTTTTTGTGAATTGTTCCATGATTATTTTGTGAATTATTTTGTGATTATTTTTTGAATATTTTCATGATTATTTTTTGTGCTAAGGTTAAGGATTTATTTGAGAATAAAATCCCAGCAATAGGAATTTATTTGTGAACAAATCCCAACTGCTATTAACCAAATATAATGGATGGAGATTTTATTTGGGTTTATAAATCCCCAAAAGCTGAACGCCAGTTATAATGGAATGTGGCCTTAGGTAATGTAAAACCCAAATCAAAAAGCTGTAATATAGCTGGAACTTTCTTCTGGCCGGATAACCTTTTGAAAGAACTCTGTCCCCCACCAAACGTATAAGCAATGTTAAGCCCTTGGCTTACTACAGGTATCTGTAGCTAGAATGTGCTGGATTCACACTCAGGCCTGTGCACTGAGGTAACACTGAAAGGATTTCTCCTTTAGAATATACGCTGCCATCATTAAACCTTTTACTTCTTCAGTAAAATGGCTTTAAAACTTCTTGTACAGTGGCACACGTGAGGCAGATGTTTTGAACAATAAAATGATGTTTATTTAAGAGAACTTGAACAAAATAGGCAATAAGCTTAGTTGGTTTGAAAGATTGTCTTAAAGGTGTGTGCTTTCTTTGAGCAGTTCAGACTTAGTGACAAATAAAACTCCTTTCTCCCTCCAGAGATTATTGACCGGATTTCTTCTCTGAAAGTAACCCCAAACTCCACACAGTCCTTCTCTTTTGGGATCTGTCTCTCCACTCCCCAGTTATCTTCCCTAATAGCTGTAATCTTCCCACTAGCTATATCTGCTAGCTAACTGACCACTTCAGGCCTCTCTCACTACTCTCTTCTCCACTCCAAACTCCTAGCTCCTTCTCCTTTGACACCCAGATTCAATCTCCCTAACAGGGTTTTAAAACGTCCCCTTAAAGTCTTTTTTTCCCTTTTCCAAGTTTGCACATTCTCTCCCAGCCAGTCACTAACTCCTCTCATTTCCCTCCAAGTACCTAAGCTCACCCCCTTCAGGAAATGAAATTTTAAAATGGATGCCCCCGGCACCCTTTCCAAAATGGCTGCTGAACTTCCTGGGCCTACATTTTTAGGCTTTTCCTAGCCTAACAGGTAGGTAATTCACTAAATCATCCTGATTATTTTTGTGATTATTTTGTGAATATTTTTGTGAATATTTTTGCAATTACTTTTGTGAATATTTTTGCAAATATTTTCATGATTATTTTTGTGAATTGTTCCATGATTATTTTGTGAATTATTTTGTGAATATGTTCATGATTATTTTTGTGATTCACTGTGTTACCAACCTTGAGTCCAAGTCAAGCATTGTCTCAGCAAAACCCTCTTCTTAGAACAAGAGTGGCCATTGCCAAATAGACGGGAAGGTCAAGAGGTGGCATAATGTTTACATATTTGAAAGGATGTCGTATTAAAGATGGAGACAATGTGTTTTCTTCAGTGGCTTATAATTTTGTGTAATTTATCAACATCTGAATTTATGCAGATTTCCAGTTTTAGGATGGCTATATAGATTTCAGTCTTCTTTTCCACATAGATGTGCAAACATTTTTGTTTATGAATATATATTTTATCCTGCCGGGTGCAGTGCAGAGTTGGGGAAGTCGCATCCATCTACAGGTAGAGGTTTTAGGAAGTGATCGGATACATCATGCATTTTTTTGCTCAGCAAGACAGATTTGGAAACACATCTGTGTATCTGCACATATGTGCACCTTCTGCTATTTAACGTTATCTCTTTCTTTCTCTTTCCTGCTGTTGTCAGGTGACCCAAGGACAACACAATGACAATGTCTACAGCTGGAGGTTCTGAGACTAAAAGCACAATGAAGAAACAGAACCCACCTGAGAAGAAGCCGGCAGGAGCAGCCACCCCTTCCCGGTGGCACCGCCACAGGTTTCGACGCAAAGTCCCCTCTGAAGTGATTGTAAAGGGGCAGCTTCGCATGCGCTCCCCCTCTGGAGCCTTTGTGATGGTGGGTGTCTCTGTCGTCTTGGTGGGCATGACCATCGCAGTCATTGGGTACTGGCCTTATCGTTCCAGGTCTGGAGGCAGTAGGCCAGGGAATTCCAACGGCACAGATGAGATCAAGAAGGAAGTGCGTATTGTTCCACATCCCATCCTTCACAGTGAGAAGCTGAAGCTCATTGGGCCTGTGATCATGGGCATTGGACTCTTCATCTTTATCTGTGCAAACACCATGCTGTATGAGAACCGAGATATGGAAACCCGTTTGTTGATGCAGAGGGAACTCTACTCCTTGGGGACGGGTCTGCCACTGAACACAAGCAAAGCGAGTGGCTACTTTCAGGGAAGGCCCAGTCCCCCCACACTCCAGGCCAGTGCGGAATGTGTGGAAGGTTGCTATGAGGTGGACCTCTCTTCTAGTGGCTTCCAGTCATACTCCAGCCCTATGAAGAAATGGGCCAGCAACTGCAGCTCCAAAAGGCTTCAGGCTACCACCCAGCTCCTTCACCACAACAGCATCTCGCCTTCCCTTTCCTTCCTGAGCATCCACTCAGACTCTGGGAATGCAGTGCCAGAAAACGTGGCCTGCCCTTCCACACAAGGAACTGAATCACTCGCCTCCACATCTGTCAACACCTTGTCACTGCCTCTCATTAAACTCAACAGTTGTCTTTTTGAAAAACAAGGCGTTTCTCATATGATTGTGCAGGATGTGGAAGGAAATGCTGTTAAGTTGCCAGAGGAGGAGGAGGAGATCCGGAGGCTCTCCTGGACTCTTCAAACAGATCGCAATAGTAGGGCTCCCCGAAGACATGAACTCAGTGACAGTCATGTAGTTATTGATGTGGACAATGAGCTTCCTTCTGCCACATCAGCTGAAAAACGCCTGCACCCTCCATACATAAAAAGAGAATTTGGTTCAACCACTCAGGTCTCCATTTCAGGTCATTCCAAGTCCCTAGATCTTGGCCAACAGAAGGTGCTCTTAATGGCATCAGTCAACAATAAGAAAAACAGGAGCTGGCCTAGACTTGACCACATTGGCCTAGTCAACTATGCAAAATTGGAAAGCAAGGGCGAGTCTTCCGATAGGCTGTTGGAGACGATGAGAGAGCCTACCAGGGGGAAAAGCAACCATGCATCTGGGGAACTGGACACAGACATAAGCCTTGGAATGTGACTTGCATTACAGAGACGATGGATACTCTTGTTGTTCCCGTTCTGTTCATCTGCTCCACTGTTTTGGGCCTTTGATCTGAATATATGTAGCTTTGCGACTATGGCTGCTTGGGCCATTGGAGGAGGGCCATGTTGGATGCTGCTCAGTGGGTTACCTTACAAGAGCCCTCTTCAGCACATCTCCACTCTGCTTGCATGTGACTCTGTGCTTTGAAAAGGGAATGAGCTATGCGTTCTGATGCAATGGGGTGGAGAAAGCAGGTCCTTCAGATCACTCTTCCTCGTCTATCCTTTAAAGACACGTTGTTGGGACTCCAGAGCGAGTGATGTGATGGCGAAGGTTCGGAAATGATAATTCAATGCCTCCTAAAGTAGCAAAGATCTGGTTTTAAATCTTGTGAGATTATACTTTTATACATAGATCCTTGTTTCCAAACTCATTGGGGATTAAATGCAATCCCTGCCTGTGATCTTTTACTCCGAGGTAGAAAAGCAAATCTTTAATCAGTTGGGCCTTGGGCAAGCTGCACATATCCAAGTCAAAAGCCTGCAGATTTCTTAGTGACTCCTTGCCCTCAGCAACATTTGGAGAATCACTGGCTGCTTACGGCCTTACAGGGTAACTCATTAACATTTGCCTCACTGCTGTGAAGATCTTGAGTTCTTTGTCATGCCTTAATGATCATTTACAATTTTTTATTTTCTGCAGAAAAAAATGTTCCATCTGACCCCCTTCTCTTTATAATCCATTGTTCTTTTGCTTTAGCCCTTAAGGTATTTTTTAAATGATAAGGGGAAGTCCTAAAGGCTGATTGGAAAAGAGAAGGAGCCCATGTCCCTTCTCACACATTGGAGCAAAAGAGCAGCTGGAAGCATGCCAGGGACTGGAAAGGTTTCCCTTTTCTTATCTTTTCCTTTCTTTTGGATTTGGCATATAAGTGGATAGTGGAAGGAATTCTAAGCTCCAAAGAGCATACCCCCAAGTAGGATCGCTGTCTGGAGCTGCTCTCAGTCGGAAAGTGCAGATTGGTCTACGAGTTGAATTTGACCTCTTGGTGAATGATATCAATCAATCAATCTTTATTATGGTCCATAGACCCAATTTGTTGTTGTTGTTATAGTAATAATAATAATAATAATAATAATTATTATTATTATTATTATTATTATTATTTTATTTTTGTACCCTGCCTCCCATCTCCCCAAATGTGCCTAATACAATGCATAAAATAAACACATAATACAATACAAAATAAAGCCAATAAAGTTGGTTTAGGCTCAAAAAAGTGCCCAATAACCGATGATGAGAACTGTCGTAAAACATACATTTATTTATACCCCACTTTATCTCCCCCGAAGGGGACTCAAAGCGGTTTAACATAAAAACGTCAGCATAACAATTTAAAATATACAGATATATGAACAGCTGAGAAAGTGCAGAGCAGATTCATAAACTTGTGAAGGATATGCCTCCATCCTGACCAAGCTCTCCTTAGGCACAGGGAGCTTGCATGGAGCAAAACAAAGCTGTGCCTAAGGCATTGGCCTCCTTGTGTCTTCCTTGCTTGGCTCTCAGCTGTGTGCTCTGTGACAGTTGTTGGCTGCTTTCTCCTCACTGTAGGTTCCCACCCCAATCTCGAAACAAGAAGAGGAATATTGAGTGAAGCTGGCTCCAAAGGGCAGAGTGTTGACGACAACACCCTCCCCTCACTTTCTCCATGTAGGATTCTCATGGGTTTCAAAACTCATTACAAAATTAGGGGTGCCAGCATTTCATTTCTAAAGTGTTTCAAAAGTATTGTGAGTGAAAATTTCGTTACTATAGTGAGAATAATGAAATTTCGTTACTTTTTTGTTAAAGTAATTGCGCAAGTGGGGAAACTTCAGGGGCTCCTCCATCTCTCATTTTTCCAACTATTGGGGTGAAACTTGCTATGATTATAGAACACATAGACCACTGTGAGTCCATCAAGTTTCAGAACATTTCACTTATCCACTGATTTCTGGGGAATTTTCAAAGATTTTTTAAACAATGTTTAAAAGAAATTATAAGAGTGCTGTCCTTGAATTTTCTGTCCAATGACACAAGATAACAGGTGATCATTCCTCCCAACTTTCAGAAATATTCATAAATCTACTGATTTTAAGGAATTTTAAAAAGTTTTGATGAAAACATTTTTAAAGTCATAACTGTTGTCTCATTGAATGTCTCTCATATTAACCAATAGAAACCAGTATTAATTAATTGTACAATTTTCATAGAGGGCCATCTAGTCCAATTCCCTCCTTCTGGTCAGAAGGGCACTATCAAAACCCTCCTGAGAGATGGCCATCCAGCCTCTAAGCTAAATAATATACTTCCTCTATTTAGGTGGAAGGGATTCCCAAGGGCCATTCATTTAGGAATTTCTTCCCAATCCAGCACTAATTTACTTGCTAGAAGTCTCAGCCAGCCCTCCTCTTTGCAGAATAATAATAATAATAATAATAATAATAATAATAAATATTATTTATTTATATTCCACTCTATCTCCTCGAGGGGACTCAGGACGGATTATGGAACACATATACGGCAAACATTCAATACCGATTATACAATTAACAAAGACGGACAGTACATAAACAGAGGTAAAGGCTTCCCATCTTTTTCCATCTCTGGCATCTGGAGCCTGTGCTTGACTCTGGCCATGGGTTGGGATGTGTGTGTGTGCTGTCACTCCATCTTCCATACCGAGGAGTCCCACCGTCTCTAGATGCTTTCCCAATTGAATTGCCCATATCCTCATTGGCACCTTTTATTACTTCCCTGCCAACGTGATACCTATTTATCTTCTCACTTTACTGTTTTTGAATTGCTACGTGAGCAGAAGCTGGGCTGACAACTGGGAGAACACAGAATGTTTTTATTTGAGAACACAGAAATGCTGGACCACTCTCACAACCACCATGTCAGACTATACAGAGAAGCCATTGAAATACACAAGCATGTGGACAATTTCAACAGAAAGGAGGAAACCATAAAAATGAACAAAATCTGGCTACCAGTATTAAAAAACTCTAAAATTGCAACAGCAAAACAACAGAGAGGATGCAGGCAGGGACATCTAATTACCTCTCAACAAGAGTTTGCTCCAGGCACAGTCAGCCCATTGTATGCTAATGAAGGTGGTCAGTTGAAACATTCACACCTAGCTCCAGCAGACAAGAGTCCTTTGTCTTACCCTGGTCATTCCACAGATATACAAACCCTTTTTCCTAGTTCCAACAGACCTCACTACCTCTGAGGATGCTTGCCATAGATGCAGGCAAAACGTCAGGAGAGAATGCCTCTAGATCATGGCCATACAGCCCGAAAAAACCTACAACAACCCAGTGATTCCGGCCATAAAAGCCTTCGACAATACAACTTAAAATATACACATATACAAGTGTTAAAACAGTATTAAACACCATTAAAAGCATATAAAATCAGAGCAGCCCCTGACTATCTTAGAAACCTCCTCCTTTAAAGGCCTCTCCGAATAAAAAAAAAAGGTCGTAATCTTTAAATTTTAAAAAACGTTAGATTTTGAAAATATGGATATCCTATGGCCGTGTAGAAGGGTCCATAGTCATCACCTGGATATTTCTTGGAAGTCCGACTTGACCAAGAATGTAAGATCCAACAAATTCCTCACCAGTCTTGTGAAGAATTTCATTTGGGATCAGGTTTGGTCTCCCTTCCTCAAAAGGAAATTCAAGCCATTAGAAATGCCTCAGATACAACTAGTGACATTGGGAAGCCCAATGCAACCTCCACCTTGCACACTGGAGATGGAGCCAGTGAAAACACAAAGCACATTATCAATTAGCTGGCATTTGGGGCGGTCAGGCTACCCCTGCTGGTTTTAGCCAAGATTATTCACAAAAAACAGTCACAATTTATTTATTTATTTATTTGCTTCACTTTTATACCGCATATTTCAGCCTTTAGCAGGCGACTCAATGCGGTTCACAGTGCAGTTAAAACACAATAGTACAAAAAACCGGAACGACGAAGTCGCTCCACCAACAATTAACATCAGACACACAACCCACAAACAACATATACAACGCCTCCGTTAAAGTCAGATCCATTCTCATAGTCATTATTCCGTTCCTATATTCAGTTACCGTCTTCCTTAGTTAGTTGCATTACTTAGCCAAACGCTTGCTCATAGAGCCAGGTCTTGACCATTCTCCGAAACGCCAGCAACGAAGGTGCCTGTCTGATGTCTGCTGGCAAAGCATTCCATAGCCGAGGGGCCACCGCTGAGAAGGCCCTGTCTCTCGTCCCCGCCAAGCGCACCTGTGACGCAGGCGGGATCGAGAGCAGGGCCTCCCCAGACGATCTTAATGTTCTAGTCGGTTCGTAGGTGGAAATGCGTTCGGAGAGGTAAGCGGGGCCAGAACCGTTTAGGGCTTTATAGGCTAAAGCCAGCACCTTGAATTGAGCTCGGTAGCGGATTGGCAGCCAGTGGAGCTGGCTCAACAGGGGAGTGGTGTGCTCCCTGAGTGCCGCCCCTGTTAGCAACCTGGCTGCCGAGCGCTGGACCATCTGAAGCTTCCGGGCTGTCTTCAAGGGCAACCCCACGTAGAGCGCGTTGCAGTAGTCAATCCGGGATGTGACCAGAGCGTGGACCACCGTGGCCAAGTCCGACTTCCCAAGGTACGGGCGCAGCTGGCGCACAAGTTTGAGTTGTGCAAATGCTCCCCTGGACACCGCCGACACCTGGGGATCCAAGCTTAGCGAGGAGTCCAGGATCACACCCAAGCTGCGAACCTGTGCCTTCAGGGGGAGTGTAACCCTGTCAAGCACAGGCTGTAACCCTATGCCCTGTTCGGCCTTTCGACTGACCAGGAGTACCTCTGTCTTGTCTGGATTCAATTTCAATTTGTTCGCCCTCATCCAGACCGTCACAGCGGCAAGCAACGGTTCAGGACTTGAACAGCCTCCTTAGTAGTAGGTGGAAAGGAGTGACAGAGCTGGACATCATCTTACAGATAACACCTCACCCCGAAACTCCGGATGATCTCTCCCAACGGCTTCATGTAGATGTTAAATAACATGGGGGACAATATTAGCATTCTGGCCCAAGTCAATGGTTGTGGGGCCAAGCAGGTTTTCCCCAACAACACCTTCTGAGATTGGTCCTCCAGGAAGGACTGGAGCCACTGCAAAACAGTGCTCCAAGCCCCATTCCCGCGAGGTGTCCCAGTAGGATACTGTGGTTTATGGTATTGAAGGCCGCTGAGAGATCCAAGAGGACCAACAAGGACACACTCCCCATGTCGAGCTCCCGCAGATCATCCACTAAGGCGACCAAGGCTGTCTCGGTACCATGCCCGGCCTAAAGCCAGACTGTGCCGGATCCAGATAATCAGTGTCTACCAAGAATGCCTGGAGTTGTGAGGCCACCACACGTTCCAGGACTTTGCCCAAAAAGGGAAGATTGGAAACAGGCCGAAAGTTGACGAATTGAGTGGGATCCAGTGATGGTTTCTTCAACAGCGGTTTTATCACAGCTTGTTTTAAGCTGGCTGGAATTTTGCCTTCCCGAAGGGAGGCATTAACCACCACCTTCACCCACTCGGCCAATCCCCCTCTGGCCTCTTTAGAAGCCAGGATGGGCAGGGGTCTAGGATGCATGTGGTAGCTCTCATTCCTCCAAGCACCTTGTCCACATCCTCAGGTTTCACCAATTGAAATGAATCCAACGAAATCGGATAAGCAGATGCTCGTGTTACATCCTCTGAGACTGCCGTTAACATGGTGTCCAGGTCAGAACGGATCAAAGCGACTTTGTCCGCAAAGAACCGAGCAAATGCTTCACAGCGGGCCGTCGAGTTGTCAGGGTTCCCATCCGGAGTGGTGGGATTTAATAGACCTCTGACAACTCGAAACAGCTCAGCCGGACGGTTCTTTGCGGATGCAATATTGGCCGCAAAGAAAGATTTCTTTGCCGCCTTTATTGCCACGGCATATGCCCTTAAAAAGGACACAAACCGTGTTCGATTTGGCTCGCTCGGATCCGAACGCCACACACTCTCTAGTTCCCTCTTCCTTCGCTTCATTGCTGCCAGCTCCTCAGTGAACCAAGGAGCTGGTTTAGCTCGGCTACTTGAGAGGGGACGTTCTGGAGCAATCGTGTCTATTGCTCTGGTCATCTCCCTATTCCAGTGAGACACCAGGGCATCAACAGGATCACCAACCAAGGAAGCGGGAAAATCCCCAAGAGCCGTCAGGAATCCATTCGGATCCATAAGCCTCCTGGGGCGGACCAACTTAATGGGTCCCCCACCTCTGCAGAGGTTAGGAGGTGCAGCAAGTCTAAAGCTGACCAGATAGTGGTCGGTCCATGGCAACGGAGAGATGGATAACTCCTCAACACCGCCACTTTGCTCCCATCCCTGACAGAAAACCAAGTCCAATGTGTGTCCAGCACTGTGAGTGGGGCCAGATACCTGTTGGGACAGCCCCATGGTTGCCATGGAAGACATGAAGTCCTGAGCCGCTCCTACTAGGGTAGTCTCGGCATGTACATTGAAGTCCCCCAGCACAAGAAGCCGTTGGGACTCCAATGCCAGGCTCGAGACCACCCCTGCTAGCTCAGGTAGGGAGACCGTAGTGCAGCGAGGTGGGCGGTACACTAACAGAATCCCTATTCTGTCCCGGTCACCCACCTTCAGGTAGACACATTCAAAATTAGTTGACTGCGGGATGGGGCCTCTGGTCAGAGGAATGGAATTCTTATAGACAACCGCAACTCCGCCTCCCCGCCCTCCAGGTCTCGACTGGTACTGTACGGAGAAGCCTGGTGGACAAAGCTGGGTCAAATTAACTCCTCCAGCTTCGTCCAGCCAGGTCTCCGTAATGCACGCCAGATCTGCCCGCTCCTCCAGAATTATATCTTGGATGAAAGATGTTTTACCGTTGACAGATCTGGCGTTCAGCAGTACCAGCTTCAGCCCAGAGGGACCGCCACCCTTGGTACACCCACTTACCATGTCAGGAGACCGATTACAAGTTCTTAAATTTCTTTCCCTGTCCCTAGGCCGAATTTGAGTTTTTATCTTAATTTTTCCCTTATCACTAGGCCGAATTAGCGGTCTCCCTTTCCCGCATCTCCGCCTCCCCGTTATGGTTTCTATGGGGGGGCCCCGGCCAATGGAATGCTCCTCTTCGTCCATATTGCACTTCAGTTTTGTAACTTCATCCCATATTTCTTTCCAAGTTGTTTGTTTTGCTGACTTCTCTCTGTGCCATACAACCTCCTTCCAGTCTTTTCCTAACCTTGCGATGCTATTTGTAAGATCTAGCCCCCTACTCCACCCTCTGTTCCCTTCCCAGTTTATCAGCAATGTTGTTAGCAAGAACCAAAGAATGGGGGCCGACATGGATAACAGCGATGGAGCAGCGTTGGTACAAGTTACTGGCTACAAATATCAGCAGATGTTAAAGTGCAAGGTGCAATAAAGTGCTTTAACCAACCCGTTGGTAATAGTTAAAGTGCTATAATGGAGGCTAATGGGAGGCTAATGGGATAAAGTGCGAGAATTTAAAGTGCACTCAGTAGTTGAATTAACAAGGTCTAAAGTGCAGGTTATACCTAGTGGCTTAAAGTGCTGGCAGCTGGAGAACTAGCAGCGTTGGCTGAAATGGTCGTCATAATAATGTAGCAACAGTACAACAAGGTTTAGCCCCCCTCCCCCCTATACATCAGACATAGGGCAGAGTCAAGGGTGGAGATCTATGAAGTCCTTAAGACGGTAGGATTTTACAAGGAAAGGTATATAAAGGCCCTAATGGCTGCAAGAGTCTGACGCTGGTTGATAACGTTTCTTCCGGAATGGAGGCGATAGATATAAGATGACAATAAATATGATGTCTCAAAAAGGCGGTTGATGGAAGCTTTGTGACAGCAGCTATGTCCAAAATGATTCCCACCAATCAGTGCCGAACTTACAATCTCAGTATGTTGGTATCCTTTAGTTATCAATCGCTCAGCTGGTGG